CGGCTTGCCTCTGCCGGTCCGCGGGGAGGGCTTTGCTTTGTGGGAGGGAGTCGCTCTTTTTCTTTGGGAAGCAGCATTGTCGCCTGTGAGCCATAGTATTTGAAATCATCACGTCTCGATGCCGGGCTTTAATCTTTGGAACCATTCTGCAGTTTTCAGATTTAATCCTTGACCCTTACAGATTCTGATCTTGGCTCCTACCCGAGAGATTGCTGTGCAGATTCATGCTGTCATCACAACTATTGGTATAAAAATGGAAGGCTTGGAATGCCACGTCTTCATTGGCGGGACTCCTTTGAACCAGGACAAAATCAGGTTAAAGAAGTGCCACATAGCAGTTGGCTCCCCAGGTATGGATGAGCTTCATTGTGCTTCAGATACCGCGTGATACTTCACAGTACAACAATTGGTGCTTTTGAAATCTGGCTTGGTTTGGTGGTTGTTTTTGTTTTTTTTTTCTGTTAGTCGTAGGGGATAGTCTCAAAGCCCAGTGCTAGAAACATTTAGACCAGGTATTCTTAGTGAGACGCTATTCCAGATATGCCTTTTTTTTACGGGCTTACTAAAATTAACTTAAAAAAAAAAGTAGGAAATTCATTATTAGAACCTTTCAATTAATATTTTTGAAGTTTTTTTACTTTTTTCTTCATATGTAGGTCGAATAAAACAGCTCATAGAGTTGGACTACTTGAATACAGCCAGTATCCGGCTTTTTATTCTTGATGAAGCAGACAAGCTTCTAGAAGAAGGCAGCTTTCAGGAACAAATCAAGTAAGAAAAATAATTACCTCATGCATTTATCGATAGATTGGATGCATGGTTTTTAGTCATTCCCATTTCTTTGTCTCACAGTTGGATTTACTCTTCGCTACCAGCCAATAAACAGATGCTTGCTGTTTCAGCTACTTATCCTGAATCATTGGCTAATGCTTTGACCAGGTACATGAGAGAGCCAACGTTTGTGAGGTTGAACCCTACTGATCCAAGTCTCATTGGTAAGTACAAGTTCATTTATAGTGATACTGTTATCAGTAGGTTAAGAAGAGTATACTAAAACCAAAACGTGTACCTTTAAAACTTATGATTCTTCATAATTTCCCTCTGCAGGAGAGTTGATTAGTTTATAAAGTATTTATTCCGAGTGTTATGTATTTAAATAGCAGTGATGAATATAACTTTCTGGTTTTTCCATCAGTTCAAACAGAAAGAAAAACCTGTCCTGTAGGTTCTTACTTAGCACGTGTGTATGCTTCTTTAAATTCAAAGTCTGTGTTTTAGCTGCAGTGACACGTGTTGACAGCAGCATAGCACTGTGCATGTTTTTGTGGAAACCTTTAATCTGATAGTATTTTTGGTTTCATGCTCAGGGCTGAAGCAGTATTACAAGATTGTGAATTCCCATCCGCTCCCACATAAAACATTTGAGGAAAAAACACAGCACCTACAGGAGTTGTTCAGCAAGATTCCATTTAATCAAGCCTTAGTCTTCTCAAACTTGCATAGCAGGTAATATATTTGAAATAAAATCTGTAAAAAGCATGTTCGAAAGCAGTGGTTGTAATGTCCAGTCATGGATAAACTTATGTAGATCTTCAGTAAGGTCTCAAAGCCGTATGCAGTTTTCAGATCAGAAATGCAGCCAAAGGAATGCAGTGTGAAATACTGAAGATAAAGGAATCCTTTGGCATGAAGGTGCCTCATACACTGTTTAGAGTGCAGTGAGACCTGATATCCTGTTGTCCTTTTCTGCCTGTGAGGTGACTGTTCTAGACACAAAGATGAAAGTGACAATTTTGGAATGTAATCCTTGGCTGTAAAGAATAGCTTGCTGTTAAGAAATGCATAGGAGTTGTTAGGTCTGCAGTCTTATTTATGATTTTTATTGTGTGTATTGTGTCAGGGCTCAACATCTGGCTGAAATACTGAA